CAGCCCCGTTCATTTCTTTCCCTGCTGCATCTTGGACTCGGGGTCACTCTTCATCGCCGGTTCGCCTCGAAGCTGTTGTTGGACATGCTGTCAAAGGATTGCTGTTCAGGATTTAGTTCTAGCACCATCCTCACCATGTATGCCAATTTTCAGCTTGTTTTTTCAAATTTCTGGGTCTTTGACTGGACTATAGAACAGGATTTTCAACAGAAAGCGCAGTTTGTTGCTCCGAGTGGGACCATGGAAGACAGTACAGCTGACAGTTTTGCTTCTGATCTAATAGTAAATAAGATAGTAGAGTTAAAAAGAAACAAATTGTAAAAAAAGTAATATTAACGAAACCTGAAAAAAATCGCATTTTAACATTTAAAGGCAGAGAATGTCTTCTAAAGTAGTGGTCTAAATTCGTGGTTCACCATTGAGATCTCCTGGTATTTTTAGACTGTGCTTGGATGTTATGACTCGAAAACGGTAATATTTTAAGTTTATCTTCGTAGCTGTTTTAATATTTGTACTTGAACCCATGTGGGTTTTGGTTTTTCGAATATTGCGGTCCAATTGCGTTTCAATAGGAGTGCATTGGTTGGTTTCATGTGTGTTTGTAAAATAAATGTTATTTATGTAAAATTACGTAAGTGTGTGCTCATTCGGACCCTTTAACGAAGAGAGGTCTGATGTTCTATTACGATTAATTAGATTGATTCACACCCAAAATTCATTTTAAATGTTTGTCAAAATTTGGTAACAGACTATTTGGAATTTATGAATTTTGATCTTGGTCAGAATTAAACCATTATGCTGTGTTGGGGTACGGATCTGTACCGAGAAAATTTTCATTGAAGAGTTAGTTAGGTATGAAGAGTGTTGTATTTGGCCTGAAGTTCTATGGTCACAGCATTTATTTTGCTAGACCGTGAGGCATTGCAATTATTTGTTGTGTATATGGCCGGAACCAATGCACACAGCAATAGACAATAAAATTGATCGAGATCAAGGTTGATGCTGTTGTCAAGATTTACTAGAAAATAGAATAGAGATATAGCAAAATGTTATATCTGGATTAGGTTATTGTTATCGGAGTGGGCTGCATATTCCAAAAGAACTTTGCAGGTTTATTTCAAAAGTTCGAGGTAAATCACTTCGTAATCTCACCGCCATGGTCGAGGGGCCATCGGGGCCAATTTACCTACTACGATGAAGTAGCGGTTAGCATTTGTGAGGCAACACACATATCCTCGAAATATTTGTGCCATTAATGTAAAAAAAAGTCCCTTAGGTTTTGGGATTTTTACGCTAAATTTGGTGATCATTATCCAAAAAAACGATTTATTTGTTTTATTATTAATTATTGTAAACGATACGTTTATTTTCTCATAACAAATCCAGCACCATTGAAAAAAAAATGACAAAATTTAGCCCACTCTGGTGATTTTCATTAGAAATTAATTGGTTAGTGTTTTAGTGCGAAGGTAAACATATTCTTCAGGACCTCGTTCAGAACTGCGTGCTTAAAAATTTAAACTATAAATAACAACATTTGGTAGAGTAGATAAACAAATGCCATTGAAATGTAAAAAGATTCCTCGTCTATCTATCTTCATTTAACGTTTACGAGCAGAATATTGTCTATAGGCAGACGCTATAGTGAAGTGGTTTATTTTTTTAAAGTTGTTTTTGATTTATTTTTTATTTATTTGCGTAACTAAAGCTAATTCGAACTCAGTAGAGTAGAGCTTTATGCTAAATGTAAACTTATTTCCTAAAATTGGCCTCACAGATTCCATGTTAAATAAATACACACATTTTCATAATCATAAATAATAAACATTTTTTTTTCATTTAATTTTCATTTCATAAATTTTAGGCTTGTAAATAAGGAGGACATTTTTGGCAAAATCTTAATGGCAAATTTTGCCAACCGAAGCCATATCGCGGAGAAGTTAATAGTTTTCAGAGCACTATCCCATTTCTTAGTGGAGAAAAATTCATAAAAAATGCGGTTGGCATGGTTTTTCCTTCGAAAACATTTCAAATTTTACTATTGTCTAAAAATAAATTGGCAGTTGCAGTTAATAAATTGTTAAAATATGCAGTTTGGCGAACGTATCTACCGTAAGCAATATCAATCAATAAAACCGGGCAAAATTAAATTAAAAGTTACATGATCCGACATCCAATCCGTAAAGTTTGTGAAACAACTAGCGGAAGATAGTAAGGCCCATTAAACTATAACTTGCCTTTTTTGGTATACTATTTGTGGATGTGAGGCGTACGACACATCCACAGGTGTAAAGGAAAACAATTGTTTGATTTAATGTGAGCTTGCGTCCATTTCAATATCTCGATTACCTACGTAATAAAATGTACACACTTGCACCTTTTCGAGGTGACGTGGTCGTAGGCCTTTCCACCCCTGTTTAATACGAACAAAAAAAGAAAAGGAAAAGAGCTTAATTTTCTTCACCAAGCTGATATTATGAATTGTAACTGATTTTTTAAATTAATGGATTTAACTATAAAATGAATTCAATACGGTTTCAAATCTAAACATGATGCAAATCCGAGTGCAAATCCTTACACATACAGTGGCTTTACTTACAATTAATTTAAGGGTGTACGCTACCAGCTAAGCCCGAGGCCACGCCACTGCTTTTTGGAGATACTTCCAATTTCGATTATCGAAGTTACTAAGGCCGGCTCTGCTGGAGAAGCAAAATTTCCTTTTCTACAACTAATTAACAACAAACAACGAACACTTTCCATAAAGGGCGGTAATCCGAATTTACATTTTCAGAATCAAAGGAAAATGTTGAATGGATGTTGACAATTAGTCAATTACTTAACCACAAACACAGCAAATTCTTGTAAAAGGATACTTCCTAATTTTATACACTGCAGTCCCCTGAATACGTCACTTGATACTAAAATTCGAAAATACTTTCTAAAGTCAAAAAGTTCAAATGGAAATAATAGTGGAGTGATTTTCTTCTATATCTAACACTTTTTTTAAAATTTTGAACTGAGGGTTGTTATAGGGAGAGAGCGACTGGCAAGGGTTTGATTTTTACGTAGAAATGTGCCTCCCTGAAAACTTCTCGATCAACTTCACCCCTTCAGCTGTCGGAAAACGCACACCTCGCGTTTCTTCCTTCAACCACGTACCCTCATCACCTTCCAGAATTTAAACTAAATAGTGAGTTATTAGTGGGCACACGCATTAAAATGACATTTCACGTTGGTAATCATGACAATTAGCGTTCAAATTAAAATCGGCATCGCTAAAATTGCTAAAAACTCCCATTAAGGATTGCATTGCCCGAAGTTCCCTGTATTGTAAAGTCAAGATGAGACCGAGGGTGAGACGCACTATAAAAAGGGCGATAATCCGAATTTGGGTTTGATTTTCACGTAGGAATGTGCCCCCCTGAAAACTAAAGTTGACGTACTTTGCGATTTGTTTACAGTTTCAATATCAAATGACTTGTTAAGGGTGAATCGTTTTCGCTGAAATGCACTGCATAAAGTTAGCGAAACTGTAACAAAGAGAATATTGTAGCAACACATTTCTTTTTACGCAGCGAAGTAACGACAAAAAGCGGCGATAACCCAAATGTGCAGTTATAGTGAGTGTTTTGCTAATTAAAAGTAAGTGTAAGCCATTTTTCAAAACAAAACAGTGGAGTCGCCAAAACGGCATATTATATCATACGAGTACATAATTCAGATTTCTTTACAGAAAATTGACGTTAACTAAAATTTGTAAATGACAGATGCAACCAAGGAAGCGAAGCTCAATTCTTAAAAAAATGCATAAAATACCTAAGTAAGTCTGCATATGTATTGTTCAATAATCCAATAATGAGATAATTTGTTAAGAAATGATTGTGCTCTTCCTGAAAGAAAGACGTTTATTGATCTAAAGTTAAGCTTTCAGCTCGACTCCCAGTTCAGTTTTTTAATGGGACGTCAATGAGTAGCGCTTTGATTGTAAATAAGCAATGAAAATAAATTAACGATATCAAAAATATTTAAAAATGAGTGTTTTAAGTTACAATTTAAGATTGTCATATTTTATGCTTCAACTATTTTTATAAATTTCAATTCTCTCAGAGTGAGGTGCCAGTCTTGCTACCCTTAAAACACGGTGCTGTTTCGGAATAGGTATATCGCTGTATAACTAGCTTTTTAGTTTATTGCTGCTGTTTACAAGTTATTTTGTTTTCCTTCTATGAGTAGGTCATTATCAAATGTGGGCAGTTTAGTCATTTGTAACAAATTTCCCGTTTCATAACGTTTATAAATGTGAAATATGACCCCAAAACTGCACAAGGTGGCGAATTTTAAAACACGTAACTCACGGCGTCGCGACGCCGCTTACACGTCGTTTCCTGAAACGTATCTGTTAGATGTGTGTGTCATTGAAGGCAAATTATATTCTTAGAAAATGGCCGAATTTGATTTAATTTTGTAAATGACACCATATTGGATAAACTAGAAATTTCAGTGAATCTACTTTGAAAATACATGAAGTCGAGCATGAAGTCATGTTTAGGTGACTAAAGCTTCTAAAAGCTCACCTTCATTCCTTCACTTATTTCCAATGCGCCCAATGAAATTCATTCGTAATGATCTGGTGCGACTTTATTTTAATAATTTAAAAACGGTTCAACTTTTATTAGAATTCGCCGATTAAAAATGATACGTGAAAGAATAGATGGCGCTAGCGACTATTTATTTACACGCAACCTAATTTTAATATTTCTTATATAATTAATTATTTTAAGTAGTTTCGTTTTAGAAAATGAGGCCGGTTCACAACAGGAAATATCGAAACTCTGTGATGTTTCGCGTTAAAAAAATGTTTCTAAAATTAAAAAAAAAACTAAAGACTTACCGAAATCTCTGTGGGTGACCCTTTTAATTTGTTCAAGATCACGATTTTTCTTATTGTTATTTCTCTTTTTTCTTAATACTGGCATTCCAACGACTGTGTAATTGTGCATACCATGACTATTGAGAAATAGGTAATATTCTTTCGATTGCTGTATTTGTGCTTTGACTAGATCGTGCGGCCTTCTGTGGCCTTCGATATCGCAGTTCATATCTTTCGTGTCGCTCGAAAAAGTAAGTCTCAACGTATCTATAGGAAGATGTGTCGGTTTATAGCTTTCCAAAATGCGAAATGTTACCGAGTAGTTGTGGATACGATTTAGGCTCATACTTTCTGCCTTTGCCCTTACGACTGTATTCGCTAGGAAAGCTTTCCTCGCAACGTCCTGTCTTTGACAGTGGTAGGCTTTGTTGCGTTGATTCTGCTGTTGATTCTTATTTTTGTCGGGCGATCGTTGGGAACGCGACATGGCCGAAATTTCGTCGTTCGGCAGAAAGACGTAAGTGTCTATTCTGCCGGTGGGTTCATGAGGTTCGCTTTGTGAAGCTTGAGCTTTCGAGGTTTTCTGATTGTTCTTTCGATACCTCGCTCTGAGATGTCTGGTTTGCCTTATCGAACTACCGCTGTTACTACTATAGTCTGATGGGTTTTGGAACGAATCGTACGTGGAGGTGAGGTTCTTTTTGTGCTTATGTATTGAGGAGGTGGAGGAAAAGTTACTGTTGGCAAGAAGCCTGTTAAAAACGTTAGGATTTGAACTTAAACTAGTTGAGGTAAAGGAATTTCTTTTGTTAATATCGCTCATCGTCGCCATTCTATCTATGTGGAAACCAGAACAACTTAAAAATGATGCTAACAGCACTAGGAATATAAAACATACACATTTCACGAACGATAAATAATACATGTCTAGGGAATTGGCCACCAGTGTCCTTTCCCTTAAGCTTTTTTACCGCGCCTTATCAGTGCAGTACTTGATCACGTTGGACACATCGAGGTGCCGGGATCCTTCGAGGTGCTGAAAATGTGTCATCTTCTCAGGTGTCAACCGTGCCCGCTTTGAATCGAGCGCTCGGTTCTCCTCATCTCGTCATAGCCGCACTACTTCATTCGAGTAGTCGACATAATTTTCATAATCCAAAAATTTTATATGGGGCACATCAAAATGTTTAACCTAAATAGACACACAACACTTCAAACAAATAAGAAAATGCGTGCGGCAACAGGCGAAAAAATCACAAAATTTTTATTGACACTGCGCGAGAAAATTTATTTTTAAAAAGGCCTAAGTCGCGCCAGCTACCGTTTTAGTGCGCTCGTTTCTAAGGCAGGCTTATCGTTATGCTCGCGGAACAGAAGCTCAAGCTACACTGAAGTCAGGCTACCAACTTCTAGTGGTAGACGCCCGAACTGCACTCATTCGTAATGTGAAGATTTTTTTCAATTACGTCTTGACGCTTTAATTTTTCTTCTCATTTTTCTCACCGCCACTTTCGTTCGATTACCGAAATTCGACACTAATACAGATTCTGCATAAGATTACACACGCTTCCCGATCGTATTACCTTAACAGACCGACGCGATGCGTCGCCCCCTTTAAATAAACCAAATGAAACTTTATGAATGACTTAACCTAAATTTCGTTAATTAGAAATTGCAATTTTCCCGTATAGTTTGTTTTGATTACTCATTGGCGCCGATCTATTATCGTTTATTCATTTCTAGATTATACCTCTCTGGTTGGAGTGAAGGTCGGATCTGATAAAATAGGTAGGTAGCGTGATAACAATCATTCATTGTAATCCAATTAATCACTGTTTTCCACGTGAAAAACGCACGGCGTTAACTAAACTCGGTATTTTACTCTTTTTTTCGTAAACCCTAAATCAAACAGTTCTGTTTATACTTTGATAGTGTGAACGACATAAACCGTTTTGATGAGCTATATACGTAGTGGCGCTTTGAATATCACGGGTTAACATCACTACAGAAATAACTTTACATCCAGCAGGAGTAGGCCTTTAAACACTTTTAGGTCTTTATCTAATTCCTTTATTTCGGTTTTAAGGTCTATTCGTAATTAGTAATAATTTTAATGGTTCGACGGTCGTAAAGTTTAAAGATTTGGGGGATAGTGTCGTAGCCCGCAAAAATTACTAATTTATCATCGACGGTTTGTTCGAAGAAAAGAATTATAGTTTTAGAAATTTTTGGAAAAATAAACTTACCTCCTCCACTTCGGCAGTTTAGTGAACCGGCGGCCCATGCGTGAGTTATGGGCTATGAAATATTTAAGAGCACAGCGCGGTTTCCAAAAAATTGAAGATAGTATACATGTTTATCAAGAGTTCCAGTTCGAAAAATCTCAAGCGATCCTGTTGAAAATAATCCACATACAAAGAACACTGATGAAATAAATTAGAAAGTGATCATAAGGATTTGCGTCAAACGCCATTAATTTTAGCAAGACGGACGGTCTTTCCAAGAAGAAATGTTCTAAAAAAATAGGGAAAAAAAATCGTGCACAATTTTTCCATGAAGAATGTGGTACGTGGTATACGCTTAATCACAAATCACCACACGAGAAATTATATAAAATAAGGGCGTACCGAAAAAAGTGGTTTTGAAAACGAATCATTTCTTGAAGTCGCAAAATTTTATGTTAGGTGTGTGAAGTTGATCGGGTCGAGTATAATTTAAAAGCACAGCGAAGTCCATTAGGCGACAATTACTCGCAATTTTATATCGTTGCAATTAAGTTTTTCACAATTATTCGCTATAATAGGATAAGGATATTGAAAATTCTTTGCTATTGTAAAACACGTTAAAAAATGAACGTAGCGACGGTGACTTCAGGCAACCGCATATGTAACTTGTCACATTTACTTCATATACAGAGATTTTTACGTAGATCGTAGAGTATCGCCTTGAATTAATCACATCAAAGCATTTGAGGTTTTAGTTTGGATTTTAGGAAATTTAAGTAGGTTCGATGGCACTCAACATTTCGAGAATGAATACTTATTTTAATGTAATTTCTAAATTAAAATCCTGTAAAAAAATAAATGGATTCTCATTTCGATATAAATTGTTCTTCACTCATTTTCACAATTTTCACGTTGCTAAGCTGTTGGCCAAGTTAACTGAGGAACACATAGATTTCAAATGGGATGATGGATGTAAGCGGGCTTTTGAAGATCTCGAGCTAGCTTTAGTTACGGCTCCAGTGCTCAGCTATCGTAGAATAGAAGGGGCCTTTGTGTTACATACAGACAGGGTTCATACCCAAATTTCGTGTAGAAAAAAGTTACTTCTGCACAATAAACATTTCATCCACAAATTCCGTGAGAATTGTCAATAAAATGTAATCTTTAAAACTTTATTAAGGGTCCCGCACCAGTAGCAATGGCTTTCCAAATTCCAACCTGCTTTCCAAACTCGAATCTTTAATAAAATTTACTAGGAAACCCGAGATAGGCACTGTCGACTCTAGTTCGTTTAAGATACGAATTAAGGGTAGTTAAAACCGAATCTTCCCCCAAAACTAATTCTCACTATAATTTTTACTAAGTAGTGCTCCGTTTTAATAACATGTGTAATAAGTCCGCCATGTTTTTTAATTGCGCCAATTGGAATTGATATGTTCAGGAAAGCACAACAAATAGAGGTTGTCCTTAATCACTAAAATTGCGCTGACTCGTCTCTCACGAGCAAAGGAGTGATCTAATGCCGAACAAGCAATTGCAACCCCAAGAATTAATTAAGAAGGCGAAATATGATATAAATCGCAGACATCTGAACAATTTATCTACCTACTTTATCTTGAGCCATAAAGTTTCATTCGAAGGATAAAGATGGGCTTAATCCACCGACTCCGAAAAGCCAAAGAAAACTTGAGGTGAAAATCAACAGAAACCTTTCAAGTATTTATTAAGTAGCATCATATTATTTAAAAAAAATAATTCCAAATTTTTATATTCATGAGGACGTTATTTGAAAATTGAACCGTTTATTTGAATAATATTTTGAACACCGAATTATAATTATGTTTTATTTCTTAAAATTTAAAAGTTCTACGCTATGCCGTTGCCGAGATGTGGATCGATTTATAAAAAGGTTAAAAGGCGTCGGAATATGATATAAATCGCAGACATCTGAACAATTTATCTACCTACTTTATCTTGAGCCATAAAGTTTCATTCGAAGGATAAAGATGGGCTTAATCCACCGACTCCGAAAAGCCAAAGAAAACTTGAGGTGAAAATCAACAGAAACCTTTCAAGTATTTATTAAGTAGCATCATATTATTTAAAAAAAATAATTCCAAATTTTTATATTCATGAGGACGTTATTTGAAAATTGAACCGTTTATTTGAATAATATTTTGAACACCGAATTATAATTATGTTTTATTTCTTAAAATTTAAAAGTTCTACGCTATGCCGTTGCCGAGATGTGGATCGATTTATAAAAAGGTTAAAAGGCGTCGGAATAGCCGACAGTTAGTGAAACAATAAGCTCCTTTTTGAGAATCAAGTTTTACTATTTCTAATTAGATAAACGAAATTGGGGAAACATTACTGAAAACTGAGCAATTTTAACATGTTTATAAATTATAAATCGAAAAATGTGTTCTGTCTGTTAAGTTGAGAGGGTTAAAATTGGTTTGAATAATTATTAAATCTCTTTCATTCAAATTATGGCCTCATAATATGAGCTCATTCTAGCAGTTTGCATTTATTTTATAGTATCTTTCGTTACCTTGAATCTAGAATTCAATAAACTGTTTCAAACCAATATATGTAGACAACACAGACGGACGGACAGAAAGTCCAAATGACTATTGCCCACCTATTACTGGAAACAGAATTGAAAAATTTGAAACCGTTCACGAGTTATCATGTATACAGACGGACGGAAGAACGGACGCACAGAAAGCTGGGTCGCTCGTTAATAATTATATTCTGTTTTTCCTTTTTCTTTCTTGGAGGAAAAGCGCCAGTCATCCGGTTAATGGGAGCCATAGGGCTCTTTTTTATAATAAGGGTATATCAAAAGTATATAGGTACAAGAATATACAGTAACATCGAACGTTTTGTTGAAATCTGAGCTGATTTACTGAGTACATTAATTTGGTTATTATTGAGAAAGATAATAATAATTGGTAGTGCCATATGGGCCAAAATTCGGGGAATAAATGTATAAAAAAATGTTTGGAAGGTAACAGGAAATGTTGAGTGATTGTGATACTTTCATCCGATAAGAACTCCTTATCGCAAACGATCAGATGTCCCAACGATTGTAGGATGATTCGCCCCCGAAAATTCGCCCCGGTAAATTCGCCCCCGGAATATTCGCCCCCAAGAAAACTCGCCCCCAAGTAAATTCGCCCCCGGAGTATTCGCCCCGAAAATTCGCCCCGGAAAACACGCCCCCAAGAAAACTCGCCCCCAAGTAAATTCGCCCCCGGACTATTCGCCTCCGTAAGATTCGCCCCGGAAAATTCGCCCCGGCAAGTTCGTCCCCGACAAATTCGCTCCTGGAAGATTCGCCCCCGGCGATTCCGCTCCCGTAGGATTCGCCCCATAAGATTTACTAATCCTCGGAGGCCAGCAGTTCATAAAATGAATTTTGTTTAATTTTAATTTTTTTTTGTAATAACTGTGTATACCTACTTAAAGGGGGTAGAATAATAGCACTCAAATACCTGTTAACTAAAATATGAATAGGTAATTAAGATAAGGTTGAATAAAGTAAGGGTGATTTGCAAAGGATTTGACATCCAAAGGAAATAAATCCTATATTCACAATGATTTAATGACTTCTATTATTTCAGACATGACATGACATATGGAAAATCCACCTTACAAAAGAACGTAATATATAATCTAATTTAAATGACATTTTTGATTGACTGAGTTGTTAGCTTCATTTCTTCCTAACAGAACGTTTGATGGCTCGTTTGGTCATTGGTGGTGTATTTGTTTTGAAACTGTTTATATTCCTACTTGTTATATTTTGACGCGAATACGAACTTTGATTTTTGGTTAACGATTCTACGGCCTTTTTTTAACTTTCGGATCAATACTTGGCTTGAACACGGATTTTGAGTTTGGTATAAACCCGTGTAAAAAAATAGTTTTGAGTATTGAAGAAGATCGGTTTCACGTGGTGCTGGTAAGTTTTGTATTATTTTTTAATTAAGTAGGTAGTTAGATTTACTTTAAAACAAAATTTTGTGCACGATTTTCTAAGATTTTAAATATGACAATCCTAATAGACGAAGAGTTTATTTTATTGTAAATCAAACACAATATTTCACCTTTCGTAATACAAAAATCTGAAAATCAAACTGACAACAGCAAAAAAGGAACTCTTAGGGCATCAGTAATAAAAGCGTGTCTGTATTGTCATTTTTATACATAATAGTAGGACACAAAGTATATACTAAATTCATTGTCTTGTTAAGGTCTAAATTTTTTAACAGGTGACAGACGATTGAATATGAACAATTTTGAGTCGTCAGTCTCGCCGTATTGAGTTCCAAATATCGTAATTTTTGCAAATATTTATTTAATTAATTTAAACCAACCTATTACTTCCGAGTGTTAATAAATGTTATGGGGCGAATGCTACGGGGGCGAATTTGTCGGGGTGAATATTCCGGGGGCGAATACTCCGGGGGCGAATTTACTTGGGGCGAATATTCCGGGGGCGAATTTACATGGGGGCGAATATTCCGGGTGCGAATTTACTTGGGGGGCGAATATTCCGGGGGCGAATTTTCGGGGGCGAATTTACCGGGGCGAGTCTTCCGGGGCGAATTTACCGCACACCGTCCCAACATTTTAACACACAATTTCACGTTTTACAATTAAATACACAATTTACAAAACCGACCAAATTTAAACATGAAAATAATACACAATTACAAACAATTCTAACAGGACAATTGACGGTGAGAACACAAAAGTAAAATAAACCAACCATGTGCTTATACGTAACCAATCCCCTAGATTTACACTCAAAAAATTGAAATACTATCATATAAAGAATGTCCGGTCATCTTTTCCGTTTTTTACACCCAACTAGCATTACACAATAATACATTTATTATACCTGAATCGCAATCTTCGTTTTAAACACTGAAATGCTTGTGAATTCCGGCCATTAAAACACTAGTGCTTTAAAGTTTGCTAAGTAATGTTACTTCAGGTACGACGTATCAAACTGTCATCTGGGACTGAGCTAAAAAATCTTAGGTCACTTTCTGTAAATGCAAAAGATTTCTTCCATTTCTTTTCATTTTTTAATCGCCAGCATTGCCATTCCCAAGTTACAAGGTAGATAGCAAATAACGGGTTTACCAATAAGAGCGATAGGATTTTAAATTGAAATAAAACACAGTCAATTTGGTCAAATTTAGGTTTGATTGGTTTTATTAGATGCTGTATTTCATGCCATTTATGATTTAAACAAAATATCGTTCAAATGGCCACCGCGGCTCTTTTTGCACTGGCTCATCCGATCGGACCAATTTTCGATGACTCGGTGGATCATATCGGGTGGAATGGCAGCTATGGTCGCTCGAATGTTGGCCTCGAGCTCGTCAAGAGTCTTGGGTTTATTCGCATAAACCTTTGACTTCACATAGCCCCACAAAAAGAAGTCCAATGGTGTTAAATCGCATGATCTTGGCGGCCAATTGTGGGGGCCATTTTCAGAAATCAACGATTCACCAAACTGTTGACGCAATAAGTCCATTGTAGCGTTCGCTGTGTGGCATGTTGTTGGATAATTTCCAAGCATTGAGGCAACGTGAACTTGTTCATGATGAAATGGCAAGCCTTACTGATGACAACTGACAGCATATGTCAAATGTTTGGCATCCAACATAGCCGCCTTAAACGTTTAAAATCCTATCGTCCCTACTGGTAAACCCTTTAATACAGACAACATAGTAATATAGAGTTCCTTACATACTGCAATACAACAAATTAACCCTGTAACAAAGACAATTTGCTCTTTTTGGTATATATCCACATTTTACCTAGACATTGTACTTTGTTTTAGAATTACAATTTAAAATGACAATATGCATGTATCTTATCCAGTTTTCTGTACACATTTGATTCTACCCCCTAACATTGTTTGTTTTAAGAAATATTGTGGTAGCATGGGAAAAGTTATATTTATTGTATATAAGAATAAAGCTGTACAAGAAGTAGGCACCCCCACTTTTAACCCGTGACATTGATTAGTATACCGGGTGATCGAAAAGTAGTGCGGACAGTTTGAATTTCCCGTAAAACTAAACATTTATAAAGTTGGTAACATACCAAATGTCATTTATGTAAAAGCAGCAACTACCTTCTAAACATGTTTTCCAATTCCTTAAGTAAAAAACATTAAAAACTAAAGCGCCCAATTTAAACTGTCTGCAGTTCTTTTCGATCACCCGCTATAATCCATGCCCGTGACCATCCAATATATGGATTTTCCTGACAATTAATAGTATGCTGATAATGATAACGGCGGTGCACCTTTCGTATTATTTTGCAAAAATTCTCTCTTTTCTCTTGATATTAAAGGGTTTATGGAATACATTAATAAATTTTACAAATTCTGCAAACAAACAAAAAATAAGTTAGTGGCATCGCATGAGTTGGATAAATTTGCGAAAATAATTTTCATGTTTATATTACTGAAGTAAAAAAAAGTTTACGGTTACGCTAAGCGAACTCGTAAACTGTTCCAAAAAACGTACGTTTTTTTTTGGTAACGCATCTGTTTGTGAAAAACAGGTAATATGAGTATAATAAGGAAAATGGTTACATAGTACGAACTTCGTTCGATTCTCCTAAAATACTTCATCATTTTTAGACGAGTGCGCTTACTACACCACGTTATTAATAGAAATATCACATTGCTTGAATTAACTTTAATTTCGCCTCACAACGAAATGGAAAATTCTCTCAATATCAGTAAAATCGCTAAAATTAATTACACAATCCGTCTTTCTGTTGTAAGATGCGTTGTGTTGCAAGTGTTCATTTTAAATGAAGTGTTTGTTTTTTTGTATTTTTAGTTTGAGGTTTGTACGTTTGCCATTGTTTTAGAGGCCACGTTAGACATTAGTGTTGTTAGTTCTACAACGCTCATTAACTAGTTTAGAAGAAACACTAAATTTGAATGAGAAAATTTTATGTTCTGCCAAATGCTCGCGTATAAATTCGGATTTGCATCCTACAAGTTGTAGATTAAACTAATTCTTTCGACGCGAGTGCACCTTGCATTTAGTAAATCTTTTTTATTGGTAGCTTACGCTCTTTTGGGAGCTATAAAGTTTTGTTTTTATACAAGATTTGGCAGTACTAAAGGCCTGAAAGCGAGACGTTGACGCGGTTCTCAATTTTTGCGATGACGTCGGTTAGAAGGTGCTTAATCTTTCTTAATTTTTGCTCGTTTTTTTCTGAGGACAGAGCAAAATTGCTTAATCCCTTAAGTGCAAGTAATGGACTGTTTTTCTCGTCGACCTATTTACTTTGTTGGTGGTTTTCTGCATTGACCTTTTGCCTCGCCTTTAGCTCATCAAGTTATCACACATTTAATTCATAGAGTTATAATTTTTCAGTTCAACACTATTTATTTTAATCGCGTACATAGAGAAGGCACCAGACAAAATTTAGTCACACTTTCTGGCAATAGTAGAAGTCATCAGTACCAAAAGCACAATTAGAAGGTGTATTTATTCTTTAGATACAATTTTTCAAAATTGACTGACAATATTATTTACTTTGTCAATTAATTCCTTCAACAACGCCTACTTCTTAACTTTATTTTGGTTCAAAATGGCAATTCACATTTTTACATTAACAAAAAGAACTAACTAAATATCTTGAAAACGGTGGCCTCGCTCGGATGGACGGAGGGGCGAACGGACGTACAAAGGGACCATAATAGCGCCTTCCAACATGAGTTCCATAACCGCGGAAAAGCTGTAATGCACATTTTATAAACCAAACCTTGCTTTCAAATGAATAACATGTAAGAAAAGAAAGTGAAGGGTGTACTTCCTCTTTGCTTTTGATTATCGGAAACGTTGCCTTTTCACAACAGGATGATGCCATTGAAACAAGTTTTATTGCAAAATGCCTACGCATATTTAATCTTTGAAGAATAATTACGTTAATGAACAAGCAATTTATCATAACCTTCATCAATTATGTTTGATCTACATCTATAAAGGGATTGGTCGAAAAACCTCCTAAGTGGTAAAATAAATCGTTAAAATAGAATTGTACAAAAGCAAAAATTGATTCTGGAAGGAAGCTTGTTGCATGTAAAGGCATATGTGCCGAAGCGTGTAATTACATAAAACTGGCAAATGAATAAAACTGTTTACCTATCCGCTGTTATTTGTAAGTCAACGAACTGCTGGGGTTGGAAAAAGAACCGTTCCAGCATTAAATATCAGTACGGCATGGATACGGAACGGACTTTTTGCAACATAGTAATGTAACAGCGTTAACGTTGTAGAAATTCGTTTCGTGCCATTAGCTTATTTATTTTATTCCCTTATCGTAAAGAAAAACCGAAAGTGGAAATTTACCCAAAGGCATTCGCGAAAAACAATTCAAGGTTATTGACAAATGGAAGGTCACGGAATTCGCTGACGGTGCAGAAAATATTTTTCATAAACGGTGTTTCTATCACTTATTACTGAGTTCTAGTGTTGGTCTATTCCGACGCCGACGTCTAGCTCGTCGACGCTGGCGCCACAGCTTAACCACGGCGGCGCCCACAAACGCTATCAATTTCAACTACACGACGAATGTCTTTTGGATTGTTTCATGCTGGAGTAAGCACACCGTACAACTGCGACAAGGAAAGAGTTTTCGAGATAATTGCGAACCGACACTAGCTCATAATCTAATTTACTTTATCATCTTAACTCGCTGGAATTATCCCGCTGAAAAATGACCCGAAGGACGATATCGTTTATAAAAGCTTTATGATATGAGTCATTTTATAGACAGGGTATAAAGCTTTGAGTGAGTACTAAAGCTTTCTTTTCAATATAACTCTCGTAAGTGCAATTACTTCGTTTTATGGCGTGTAAAAACATCTCGCAAGATAAAACTCGTTTTTTATTTTGTTATTTAACAACGTTTCAATATTAATTCCATAAAATGTTGTAATGTCTTAATTTTTGAGATTTATTACCGCTACATTGGAAATCGTTTGACCACAATTTTACATGCAATTATCCATTTTATTACAGTTATATGCTTTTTTCTCCCGCATTACATCGATAATGAGCTTTAAACGCATCGGCATAGCTCATACCATAGTGTAATTGTGTTATTTACACTATGCTCATACTTACAATGGCCTGTATATTATTAGTTACATTTAAATGTCTTCATCGTATTTACCAAAGTGTTCCAATTATTATGACAATTTTGTTAATTGGATCGAATTTAATTTCATCGCGGTGAAGAAATGTTCCAAGTATCAACAATTTCTCGTCCGGGGTTATAGAGACCAAAACTCATGCTATTAAACAAACCTTGGGGTTAGGATAGAATGTTTGAGGGCAAAGGTAACACTACTACAAAATTTTTAGATCTGCTCGGCCACTCAGAGGGTGACTTCGAAAACAATTCAAAAAGCTCATAGTGTGTTTTCCTGGAGTATCGCGCAATGTTTTAAAATTGAAATTTAAAAAATCCTGTCCCCTAACTACAACTCGCGTGCATATTTGTCACTTTTCGTTGGTGTAAAAGTGTGGGACTTGACACTGTCTTTGTTCCGGAAGATTTCCTTTTTCGCCTTCTGGAAGCGCCGCGCTTAATCGAAACCTTTTGGACCACCCCTTAGTGAAGCGACCTCAAAATTAATTAGGTATCTTTTTTCTATTAGACTCGTTTATTGAATTTACAACGTCTAAACTGCACTGGATTCCGTTTCAGGTCTATTTATGCTTTATTGTCACTTCAATAAATACTTACCTGAACCTGTAACGGGTACGTAAAATTGCAAAACCACTTGCAAACAGGGATGGCGCTGTGCTTTCTCAGTATCTGATTCCTTTTTTTCTTCGTTTCGTAGATTTGGACTGATTAGCAAATACCGAGACACTAATTACCAAATATAAATATAAATATGAGGTGAACCTTAAGAACACAATACAGAGGTATACAGACTGTTTCTCGCAAACAATTACCTAAAAGTTTTCAGGCTCTCATTGATTTATTAATGCACTACAAAAATGGATTGCTCATGTTCAACTTTCTTATTTGTGGCCGGATTTTTGACGGAATTTTAACAGAAGCTGCATCTTACAAATGGAAAATGAATGCACATGTGAATAATTGATATTTATGCGCAGACCTAACTTCTTTACTTGCGTACCATTGTTTTCTAAAATTTTAACTCAAGTTTCTTCTTATAAAACGAATTGAAAACACACACCAAGAAATTGATCGTGTTTGCGCAGTCATCTTTTTTATTTGTAGACGGATTTTCTAAAAATTCAACTTTTTTATTTGTGGAAATTTTAACAAGATGCGTTTTTCAAAAGAAAATTCAAAATTGATTTGGTCTTCATAGACCTAAGGTCTTAACGTAGTTCCATAAAAATAAAAAATGTGCTACTGGGGCCACTTTGTGCGCTCGTTCATGGGTCCGTCCGTCCGTCCATACGGCTGTGTCGTTTTCAGATTTTTTTTGTAAAAGCTCCTTTTTTCGCTATTTGGTTCGTTATGGTATCGAGGCTTGTAACAAGGAAGAATTTTTTTCTGTGTCTCTAAGGCCGGATGTCCACCGCATCGGAACGACCAAGATCGGTGCGATTTGAATCGCCCGATAAAGATCGCGCGCGTGTGCTCCTATTGAAGCCTGTCCAGTGTCCACAGGCTCGATTTTCGTCGGGACCGATCGAAATCGCAACCGACTATTTTCGCCCGACCCGACGTTCTTGAACGATAATTTGTCGGCAGTCGTGTGTCATAATAATCAAAAGTGCTGGTAATCTTTTTTCTACCGTCACACATCTTCTGTAATTGGTGTCCCTTTTGGCAATTAATGGTCGAGCAATGTCAGCCAACGGAAAAAAACTACTCTTGGACATACGATACATACATTTAAATTTGTGTTCATGATTCGCAAGTTCATGGGCACAAATGAAAGCACCTCTGTTTCATTTATTAGTTATGTACGGAAGAACCCAATAACTGTGGTGGTGAATTATCTTTCGCCTGTGGTGCAAAAGCATGACAACTGCTTCACTTGACATTTTATTTAATGTCAACTGTCATCCCGATAAAAATCGTTCGAAAGGCGATCTTCCTATGGACATGAATTGCCAATTTTAGTCGGCCCGATCAATCTGGATACGACTACAGTTGAACCGATCTTCGTCGCCCCGATTCGGTGGACATCCGGCCTTACAAGACAGTTATAGCAAAAAATTCATTTTTTCGCTTCTCATAATTTTACACTTTTGGCTTATAAATTTTATACGTTTGTTTCATTTTGATTAGCCGAAACTTAAACATGAAACTTGCTTTACTTTAGCAATCACTTTGGATCAAAGAAACCCAAAGTTTGATTTAGGAAACGGTTAAATTCTCTGTTGAAAACCACGGTTAACCCTTTGGGTCGTTATGTATTATGTGCACTTTTTGAAAAAATGATTGCGCATGCGCAGACCCAACTTGTTTATTTATGAGCGTGTTTTTTCCCTGTAATTTTAAGGGAAAGTGCAGTTAAATTCTCTGTTGAGTACCTTCGGATCATTATTTATTATGTGCACTTTTTGAAAAATGGGTTGCGCTTGCGCACACCCAACTTGTTTATTTATGAGCGGTTTTTTTCTGTAATTTTAAGGGAAAGTGCTTTCTAAAAAGATAATTTAACGTACAGAAAACGCAGACTAAAAGGCACAATAAAATTATTACGCATCCACAGATTTACATTGTTTATTTGTGGTTCAATTCTCCAGAAACTTCAGCGGCAGATACGCTTATAAAAGCAAATTGAAATCACCTGTAAAAAAATAACTGATTTTTTCACTACACAGGAATAACACATAGTTGACTATGCGCTTGAAATTTTAAAGGAGAGATCAGTTTTGCATAGACAATAATGCAGGTCACTTTGAGCAGCTATTCTAATCTTAAATAGAGTGTTTTATACTATTTACTACAAGTTTAGTCGATATAGATAAAATACCAAAACTCTTATTTGAAACTTTTTTGTGTGTTCCCAAAATTAATGAAAAATTAAGTGGGGGCTCAAAATATACTGAGAAACCTTGCACCTTATTCAGAATAATTGATTAAGACTGAAATGTTGGCATGCATGCTATCCGAAACATATCTTGTTGAAAAAAATGGAGTTGTGTTTGTTAACAACACTTTTAACCATGAGCAACCAAAAGAAAATACTAAAAAGTGTCCCAACGAATATTTGTATCCTCCCCCCTTCCCACTAAAACTCGGCCAATAAAAAAAAATTCAAAAACCGGTATATAGAGAGCGGCCAAATAATTCTTGCAACTACTTTAACCATTTGTTAGTCTTCACAAATTTTTTAATGCGAGGGGTCAAACCATGCAAAATTTGGAATGAGTGTTCAGTAAAAGTGCACACATGTTTAAATCGAAATGATGCAATATTTCTTAATTCAAACTCAGATCTTACATTTCTCAAAACCTAGGAGTTATCTTACGATAATTCTTTGTCTTTGTTCTACATATTTTCGTTCAGACACCTTGGATATGCATGGCCCCAATACATGCACTTCAGAGATGTTTCTAACAATTAAGGAATATTCACTTAATTTTAAAATTTTAGAATCAGGAAAGATGTTTCTAGTATTTCTTAGTAACACAGCCACCAGCCTTGTTTTAATGTCTCAAACGTTTTAGTAAAACTTATTTGGTAGATAACTTCGTTTATATACACAATAAAAAGTGTAAAATTTGTAGTAAAATAACAAAATACCGTCTAAAATACTCATTCTACGGGGAAAGTCATGGAAAATAAAGTTGTAGAGCAGTTATTTAACTTTGGATTATGATTAAGAACAGTTCTCTTGTTATCAAGTAAAAAAATTAGGAAATTGGATTTTTCAAGAATTAGAGCTTTCAGTGTAAATTGTTTTTCAATATTCTCGTACAGCTCAACGGTTGAAACTGCCGTGCTTGGATCAAAATGTGATTTTTTAATCAAAAATTGGTGCCATCATGGCTGGTAGTGGATTAAAGGAACTCTTCACTACAATTTATGCTGTGTACTTATTAAACACCTGTTCATTGCTTTTTTGTTAATTGTTGACGTTCTGTTCATTTAAATATGTAAAATACATTAGCCAGCCAGTGTATGGCAAAGTTTAAGGTAGTAAGAAATACTAGACAGTGGTATATAGTTTGGTATCTCGGAGAAAAAATGTATATTAAGTATATTATCCTAGAAGATAAATTAAGGTCCGGTTCTATAAACGTCTGTTAAATTTAATTGATAAATATCTTCCATGAAGATGATGGTGATATTGAAATTCAAAGTTATATGTTTAGTTGCATAAGTAATATGGTAGGTAAGCCAGGAAATTCTGTAATCTGTAATACTATCAATGCAATATCAATGGTCAAGGATCGTTCCATTGATTTCAGAATACTTTGCGATTATTCCTAACTAGTACATATTCACCTAAATTGACAGCATTTGGCATCATTGTCTATCTTATAATGGGCGATCAAAAATGAGTGGCGGTCGAGTTGCCTTTGGAAGTTCAAGCCATGGTGTATAATAAATATGCACCATGGTTCAAGCTAAGTACGATTTTCCAAGGTGACTCGACAGAAACTCATTTTTGATCGCATTAGTGGAGGTTGTTAGCAACCATTTTTTTGAAATTGACTGTTCTTTTGTTTTTGACAAAAAAATGTGTCCTAAATATTCCATTGTCCATAGTGGTTGATATCATTTAAATCTTTCACATATCAGAGTATTTACCTAATAAACGTTTATGAAGCAGCTTGAAATGTAACAATGCTTTACATAAGAGGAGGTTATTGTTTAGCCTTTATAGCGGCGAACGCGGCGTTTAAACGGAATGCATACAATTTCTTAAGCACAAATAAACGTGACTAAAATATGCAGGTAAGAATTTCCAAATATTTAAATTTTGCTCATTTTGAGAATGTTTCAATGCTGAGTCAGTTCTTAGTTTAGCGCCGGTGTTACTCAAAACTGACCAGGTAACTCAATTCCCTATAAGTATAATACAATCACGTACCATACGCATATTATTACTAAATATAGCCTTAACTGGTACGGTTTACAAATCTTTAAACAAAAATTACTCATCATTAAAAACGCGGGCGGAATGCAAAATTTTTTACCACTCGGTACCCCGCCTTATTAAATATTTATAGAATCGCCAATTTAAGGGGTAACGAATTTGACCCGCGCGCCAATTTCAATTTAAGTTAGTCAAAAAAAAGTCAAAGTATAGATTTTGTAATGTGATCGGCAATGTAATTTAATGTTCGACACATCAGAGGTAGCGCTGAACCGTTATGTTATTGTTTGTGCGACTTTATTAGCATTTCAGATGTGGTGCGATTGTTTGTTATCGATCGACAATGCCGACCGATTCTAAATTGGGTATCACGTTATCTGCCGACAGAAATTCTTTTTATTTATTTATTTAAATATGTGCGTTTTAGTTTCCCATAGCGAACGAGTTCTGACAAAAATTTTTCTTTATAAAACGATTCCGTTTTTGGTTACTACCTGTGCGAATCTCGTCAGTAACGAGCGGTCTTTTTTTCGAAAAATAAAACAATTTGATGTCTATCTTTACACTCGGGCTAATCAAAACAGAAAAGGTGGCCGGCGGTCAGATCTAATTGACCTTTATTTAATCAGTAACCGCGAATACTGATGCATGCAAATTTTTAGATTTTATCGCGCTTGTATCATTTTTAGCCTAAATTTTCGGTCTGGCAACTTTATTAACTGTATGCACTTGACTAGTCTAAGAAAATAGTAAAAGGTACAGGAACACCTTACAATATTGTAGTAGCTATAGTTAGTAAACTCTAAACTCGGGTTCTAATGTAAGTTAAGCTCCTTTCTACCCGAGCTGGGCAGTATTCGATTTTGTAAATACTTTTTAGTATTCAAATCCTTTAAAGTATTCAAATACTTTGTAATTAAATACTTTTATGGAAGCAGTATTTGTATTTGTAACTCAAATACTTTCACAAATATTTAGTATTCGAATATTTCGCAAAGTATTTGGATACTTCGTAAAGTATTTGAATACTTCGCAAGGTATTTGAATACTTTGAGAAGTATTCGAATACTTCGCATAGTATTTGAATACTTAACCTTTTTTTACCAAAAATCGACTGCACTGGAGCGAGTGGAACTGTTTGAGATTATGGATTCTACAGGCCACATAGTCCAGTAACTCTGTTCCTGAAAATGGGGGGTACGAAGCGTCAAATCCGGTAGTTCTGACTTTTTGTGGGATTGCTTATGTTGTTAACCCAATGTATAATTCATGTTTTAGACCTCGAGCGGCGAACGCAACATAGTCAAATATACTAAAAACCGAGGAATTTTCGTTTTCTTTGCAGATTTTCACGATTTTAACCCTGAAGGACCAGTTTTTCGCCAATAACGGTTCAATAAGTTTTCAAAACAGACCAAATTTGCTATAATTTAAGCCCACATCCGTTTGTGTAGATGTAATAGATTCCGAGATAATGCTTTTCAAAAATTGTCAATTTATCGAATTCAAAAATCTTTCACAATACTTTATGGGTGACGTTTCTATTCTGTTTTACACAGATGCCAAGAATGGGCGGTATTACGCTGAAAAATAAAACGAATAATGAATTTTGTAAGGTGGTAGTTTCTGTTGCTGTTAATGTCAAAGATCCAAGAGTGTTATCGTTTGATTTAGTTCTGTTCAGTTCAGTGCTGGATATTTTTACTTTACAATAATTTGGTGCCGTTTTTTATTTTCCCTGATTTTTTTCTGATCTAGAAATGGTGGAGGATGTATTGTGGAGAGATGTTACACAAGATATTGACAATCCAGCCACAAACCTTTCAAGTGAGGAAATGAACGATGCTCAACCGTGCTCGTCCAAACAAAAAAAAGGGAAAATATACTTAGATGGAAGTCAAACAAAATTTCTTATTATAAAATTACTGTTTTGAAGTTTAATTAAGAATATCATTTACACCTCTCGTTTTCTTTTATAGAATTACAGAACAACAAAATAGTGCTAACAATTTTCGACTTTGAAAAAATCGATAAACTTTGAAATTGACGTGGCCACGTTTTCTGTGAAATAGAACTTATATTCCAAATAAGAACTTCAACAATCTGACAACAAGAAAAGTTTTCATTCACAATTCACCTTAAAAATAATGACAATGAATTTTGAGGTTTTCTTTACTGAAATTTTGAAAAACACAATTGCCTTTTTTATATGCAATTAAAAATTTATTGTTCTTTACGAAATGTTAGTATAGGAAGTATTTCTTCTGTTAAAGCTACAATCAATGATTAATTATGACACTAGTTCTTAAAGAGATTCAACCATTGATTTTGAGTTTTGCGTACATAAAAATAGATAGGATTAACAACGTAAACGGAATATTCTTGTAGATAAAGGTGTTGAATCGGACAAGGATCGGGACAGCCTCTTTACATTGACAACGATATGGAAAATTAAATGCAGTACCTACCAACGGCCAACGTCTGTGGGTGTCTTATTCAATAGAGATTTTTCTTCTTGACTGAATAGTTCGACTGGTTAGTAAGTTATAGTTACTGTGTTTTTAGGTCACCAACAAGCAATAGTTTATTGATTGTCACCAAGAGTTAAAACTAACAATTTCCTTAAAAGAGAAATGTCCACTGTTGTACTTTGGTAGACAAAATTGTCATTAACGTTGAGCCAGTGGAAAAATCGTATTTCTGACGCGATTAGCTTACAGAAATGAGGGGTCGGTTTAGAAACCTCTAGACTAAGCTGCACATGTAGCAGAAATGGTGAAATCCTAAAAGTTTGGGAATTAGTAGCGGCCCTGGAAGTACATCACTGAAATATAAACCAAGAAAAATAAAGGTAATCCGATACAAACGGATTATTATATACTATGGTTGTGACCAAAGTGAGGAACCACTACATTTTATTCCCAAGTTTACCAGACACTTTACCAGGTGCAGAGTGCACCCTTAACTACTGGCATTTGGTTAGTACACTTAGGAAAGGATCTTGTTCTGCTTAGTTGAAGAAGTTCCAATTTAAAAGATGCGAACAAAGGAGAAATGTCAATAAAATCGATCTCCTTGCTAAATAAGAAGAAAACTGTAAATGTGTGTTAGCATTTCCAATTAGTATAATGTTGATGCAAATGTCGCAGTACTACAATGTTAAGAAAAAATAAAAACTTCGAAATAAATTAGTTTAATAAAATTATACGCAGATGTACCTAATAAAGATCTCCCAAAATTTAGGAAGGAGAAAATAAATTGTGTTTAATAGAATAAACATAAATTTCAACTAGACAATAAGTGAGCTAACAGAAAAAATGAAGTACGGTACTGTAAAACGGGTGCTTTGAATATACCGAAACAAATTTGTTCTTATTAATTGTGTCAAAGAACCCAATTCTTCTATCACTTTGATCTTGAACTTAAGTCAAATTTAATATACTTCTAAAGCTCTCGCGCTGTTAATAAATAATCCACTTAATTATAATTTTCTCCGATTCTATACAATTATCGTCCATCGAACACTAGCTATTTTTACAAATCTCGACATTAAAGTTGTTGAAGCCGTAAATAATTTTAAGAATCGCACCTGAATCCATAAAGCAATCGTCCAACTTTGAAAAGATTATTAACTTATACACGAACTTGGCAATAGGCGTTTTTTCAGAGTACCATATGAACTGAAGATGCTACAAGGCGAAACAGAAATAGTCCATCGGATGAACTGACTGACGTACCGTGCAATGTTATTGTGACTATTATTTCTATAAATAATTAACTCGTAAAGTTTCCCTAAGATAATCATTAATAAGATACCTACATATGTAGATACTATATCCCCATAATAAAATTAAAATTAGCTCAACCATAGCTTTCCGAACATTTAATAACGCGCTTTCTTTCATAAAACTGTCTGGCGTGAGACATTATAACCAAGTTACAGTCTATAACAGCTTAGGAAATACAAAAAGAAGACTAAACGGAAAAAAATTGGACTTTATCGTTTTCTTTAAACATTTGAATTACTGACCGATTATTTTTGATTTGTTGTTTTTGGAGCACACTCGCACCGGCGTATTTTCGAATATATGAAAGAGTTGTCTTTTAGCCTATATTTTACAAATAACGGTGGTTTCCTTTCATTTCTAAAGCATTCAGGCGACCCCTCTTGGCTATAACGTGAACATACAATGTAATCAATACTTGCTTGGGGAAACTATACGCAATCTGTTAGAGATACTCAATCAATTAACTTCGGGGAAGGGTACGGAAATAATACGTCCTTGCGCTCCGTCTATTCGTTTGATCATCTGCTGATTGCCCATTTGAACATAAAGCTTTTAGTAGAAGAGTAGGATATCTGGATATGGTGCCGAAACTTTAACAAAACTTTCGCTTCCTTCTGCATGTCCCGGTCCAGTTTATTTTTTAGCAAATTCTTCATTTATTTTGAACCTTCTGTTCCAAGAAACAAGTGGCGACCGTGATTGGACTCTCTTGATAACAAGTACAGACACAACCAAGGAAGCCCTAGATTTACACCGAAGTGCTTGTACGAAAAATTATTGATAAAAAGACAAAATTGAAGAAGAATTATTCGCCAATACCTGTGGACTAGTAATGTACGTAATGTAAAAGTAGGTATAGATGCAGCAAATTGTCGAACTCCCAAATCCTAGGCGCCGTTTCTAAAATTTAAGACTAATATTGATCAGCCACAGAAAATGGTAGTGGATGGATACTTACTTTATTTAACAAACATGCATTCATTTCCGAAAGTGATCAGATGGTCTAAAATATTTTCGGTAGGTGGTATTTCAGGTTACACCAGAAGTCGATACCAACTTTCTTATTTTGAAAGAAAAACTATACGTTTTATTGAAGGTTCTAACTTCGTCTTCCAATTTTGAGTTAATGCATAGTTACAATTTTTACGAAACAAATGTTTTCATGTTTATGAGACAGAAACCATCACTCCTATGACACAAACCCAAAGAAGAACATAAAAAAGATGAAAACGGCAGGAAAATGCCTTTAAATTTAAATATTCGTACAGATTTTACGGCACTACAAGCACTCTTGGTAAAAAAATTGTCCAACAAATGTCAAGTCTCTACAAGTAACTACTTTAAATTAAAAGAATGAGCGTGAAAATAAATTTCTTGACCCTCCTCCACCTTTTTTTGCAGAAATATAAGGGAATTCCACCAAAATGTAAAACGTAGGGAAGGAAGTTATCAAGGACATGGGAAAGTCACCATATGAGGGCAGACGATTACTGGACGATTGATAGGAAATGTAAATAAACGGAATTGGGTATTTGTTTGTACTTCATTAAATGTTGAAACTATTTGCCAGCGGTCCTCTAATTGCTTTAATTAAGTCAGGAAACATAATGGGATAGTAAAATTAGACCAAAACCCTCCGGATCTAAGAACTCTAGGTATCAGACAAGTTTTATTATAATTTGTTTGACAGTGAGGTAATTACATCTTAAAATTTAGATTTAATTCCACTTCTTTTGAATTTCTTCAGCCTATTGTTGCAAGTAGGTACACCGTCTATATTTTATATCCACCCTGTCATACATAGAGAGGTAATATTATACAAAATCACCATTTTTGCCACATTTTTCTATATTATCTCTAATTTCTTGGCAATACTTAAATAGCCCTAACGTTCTTGACTTTTAATTACTTAAATTCGCTAATTTTAAATAGTAAATAGCAGGAATCGAAGTTTCGGTGTACAATAACCAACAATCCAAGATGTTTTTAAAAGGGCGGAAATCCAAAATCCTCACACACGCACTTTTACAAGCTTTAAAGCAAAATCAGCCACCGAAAAAGAAGTCGACACAATACCTTCACCGCTAATCCTTCACACACCAACTGTGTAAGGGATGAACTTTTTCTCAGGCACAACGTACCTTGTTTTGATAGCGGAATAGCATGGACAACCCCTATGCCCTAATTGGTACCGAAATCGTGTCAAAATTGCTAAAGACCGGATTAAAATCTTACCTGAGCATTCGCTACCACCCGGAATATAAGATTGATCCCGTTAAATAGTGACAGTTCAAGCTACTTAATGTCTTTTTCCACCGTTTTTCTATGAGATTACATTTGTAAAAGGGCGGTTAATTCTTTAAAAATTAATAGAGTAAGTTTTATATTACCACCATCTGTTGTACATGTACGAAAGTCCAGTTTTCAGTTGGCGCAACATGTTTATTGATTTCTTTTTCATGTTTCAAACATAGAATACTGGCTCTAGTTTAATATTTGCGATCAGAGATGGAGCTACAACCTGCGTCCCCAGCATCATTATTTAATTCATGATTTATGTTTCATCACGGCCACTTAGAAAAAAGGGGGTAGCGAAGCGACATTTTCCAAAGTACTTACTTGAAAACTTCCCAGTCTCGGTTAGAAATTGGAATACCACGCAAATCCTTAATCCGAATGTTTAAGCTCCCTCGTTTCCGTTTATTTCGAATAAATTTCGGAACGGCAATCACCGATGACAGATTTATGAAAATATTTGTTTGAAACGGCAGTTATTTTAAATATTCGTCGGAATCATTTGATTATGCAGATATGAACATAAAAAGAGAGATTCGCGTCGTTTTAAATTTGTTTTGCGGTCCCGCAGCCGCCTTAAAATAAAGTAAAATTACGAATCCCCCCTTTCGAACCCCAAGAAAAAAAACTTCCGCCCATCAGCGAAACGAAAAAACAAAATCTTACTATTTAATTCCCCAATTTTAAGTTTTGCAATTTTCTCGCGATAATAAAATCCTTTTTCCTTGTGTTCATTTCGTACCACAGCATCGTAACATCTTGCAAAGTGCAAGCGGTATTCATTTGGTTGTTTTGATAAATGCGCTAGCGTCGTCTCTGTTTGGAGTATTGCAAGAAGTTGGATAGAAGGTACGAGTTTCAAATCGACTAAAAGTTTTCTTGGTTGGTAGTGACACAATAACCGTTTTATAGCTAATTGTCATTGGTTTATGACTCAATATGGCGACTAGTCTAGTTTAAAGATGATTGGCCTCGTGGGATTTGGATCATAAACCCATTCGGGCACTATAAAACGTTAGCGGCTGTTGCAGAAGTTATCTTATAAAAAGTAATTGTTTTTAGAAATTATTATGATTTATTTCAGGACGGCAATAAAGGAAATCAAACTACCCTTAAATCTAGCTCATAATGTAGATGCAGACAGTAAATGTCTAAAATTTGGTGAAGTGACTGTGTTTACCTGAAATCCACTTTTCCCGCTTCGTATTTAAAGACAGTGCAATGCATGTGGACTTTTTCTATTATTTTCCACCGATTGCTTTTTGTGTACCGTTTTCACAAAGTCACCATTAGCTTTTATGTGATGGTTTTGTACGTCCGTCTGTTCCTCGTCTGACTCAAGAACGAAAAGACACAACAATGTCAAATGTCAAACCTGGAATCGATTTCTATGAGTCCAAGGATCAATGCTATTGAATATGAGCCATCTTTCCGAATGCGAGCTTAGTGTCAAAATTTCTCTACTAAAAAACGTATGAAATTCTTTGTATCTTGTTAGATTTGTGATAGTTTAGTTCCAATATAAGGTTTTTCCATCTAGTCTAGTAATATCCAGGACATTTTAAAGCGAAATCTATCCATTTTTTAAATTTTAAATTATGGAATAAGGGTCTGCGGTGAAATCGCCCGGGAAGACTCACTTCGGTAAATTCGCCCTCAGAATATTCGCCCTCAACAATTTCGTCTCCGGAAAATTCGCCCTCGGCAAATTCGCCCCATAAGATTTATTAACCCTCGGAAGTAATAGGTTGGTTTGGTAACATATTCCGATCCCGTAGAGGTAATTAAACCTTTTTTTTACATTATCCTACGGGAGCGAAACTTACGGAGGCGATATTTCGGGGGAGAATTTTCGGGGCGAACTTTCGGGGGCGAATTTTCGGGGCGAACTTTCGAGGGAGAATCATCCTACAATCGGAATATCATTACATTGCCGTGATGCCTTTTTGCAATAA